ATAGATAGATAATTACTCAGCCCATTATTTCAGGAATTTCTCTCTCAGTCCTGGTAAAAATGCAGTTTCTCTTTTCCCCCATTTTGCCCAGTCCAGTTCAGTGACCCCTGCAGTCAGATTTAGAGCTCCGGAACCAGACGAAGGTAGGATTCGCATTCAGTTCACTGGAAGATGGCAGAGGCCTAGCACAGGCCTACACAGATTCAGTTGCACCTTTTCAGAGTGGCCTGGTACAGAAAAAATTCTACGAAGGTTCTTTAGCACTAGAACAGGGATATGCTTTGAAGGCACAGGGAACGTATTGAATAATCCAGAGACAGTGGTCCGGATCCTTAGCTGGGGTAAATCAGGGTAACTCCATTGACTTCCGCTAAGCCCCTATCACGCCAGCTGGAGATCGGGCTGCACATTTTTCATTCTTCTTTTAAGGCTACCCAAAAGCTGTATGCTAAGAATAAATTGTGAAGAAAGGTCTAGAACAGGGACTCAAGAATTAGTAAACCAAGTAGCTTTTCCGGGGGAGAGTACGGATGGTGTCCCACAAAGAACAGACGCTGGGATCTGATAGTACAGATCTCTAACATCAGTAACTGCACCTCATATACAGCGATGCATAAGGATTACTAGGTCCACCAACAGAGTCTGCCCAGCAAGTGAAAAATCCTGTGCCATATGCAACAGAGACTGCCTGGAGAAATTAGGCACAGAGAATGTAACCTAATTAGCCTGGAACTTGGCCAGAATCCTAAAGCTAAACCCAAGCTGCTTGGAGAACTATTCTATGAGAGAGACAGAGGTGAGGGAGACAATAGCTTTTATTGGACCAGCAGAGCATCAAGGCTGGGCTTGGCCCAGGTGCAAACACACACGTGCTCAGGGCTGGGTGTTTCCCAAGTGAGGGCACTCGGCTGCATTAAAGATCATTTATCAAGCTGGCAGCGACCTCTGCTGCAGGGAATGTGGAGACCGGGGTTCGATTCTGAGCGGTGTAAATTGGGTGATGTCAGCTGAGTTACACGGCGTAAAACATGGTCTTGGGAGAGGAGAATCAAGACTATAGGGTCAAGTGGTGCGGCCCTTTGGAACTCCTTTAGGAACATATCTGCTGTTCTTTTCTAAGCGCTGTCTTGCACCACCCAAGATAAACTAGGTGCTTTGCCTTGAAACATGCCAACAATTCTACAGCCCGTGTACACACGGGGTCAGACAAGTGGTGACCCAGGGGCCAATCCAGCCCCCAAGGCATCCAATCACCCAGCAGCAGCGGCCCAGAACAGAGAGCACCCGCGCAGTGAGAAAACAACCCACATGTGGAGACAAAATGGCGTCTTCTGCGAGGTGCGACCTCATACGTACAGTGCGTGGGAGGTCACGCTGCATGGCGGGTGCCCAGGGAGGTGCTTCACAACAACACACGAGGCCCACATCTCTGACAAGATTGGACCACCCTTTCTGGACTGAGACTCTGTGAATCGATGCCTCTGTGAATATATGGCAACATAGGTGCCGACTGCGTGGGTGCTCCGGGGCTAGAGCACGGCAGCCCCCCTATCAGCACCTCCCCCGCCCCCCAGCGCCTCCTGCCCATCGTCAGGCCCTGCCGATCAGCACCTCCCCTTCCCTCCCTGTGCCTCCCATCCGCTGCAATCCGCTGTTTTGCGGCGTGCCGGAGGCTGAGGGGGGAGGAGAGGGGATGCAGCACGCGCTATGGGGACGGGCGGAACTGGGCGGGAAGAGGCGTGGTGGGGGTGGAGCAGGGGCGGGGAGAGGTGGGGCGGGGTGAAGCGGGGGTGGGGCAGGGGTGGGAAGAGGCGAGACGGGAGTGGGGCCTGGGGCAGAGCCGGGGGGTCAAACCCCCCCGGCACTTTGGAAAGTCGGTGCCTGTGTATGGCAACATACCCAGTGGTCAGTATTATATTCATACACAGTAATTACCGAAGCCCATCAGCTGACATTCTCAAACGCAACATTTTTTTATCTTTGCCTACCTGAGTCCTGTTGTAATACTTTTCTACAAGAAGTCAAAAGATGCTTCAGGTTTAATCTTGAGATTCGATTGAGATTTTCATACAGATGGCTAACGATCCTCATGTGTCTAACATATACGCTGGCGGATGTAAACAACATTTGTCACCCTGACGAGGATATTCTAAGGTATAATTAGAGCTAAGTGAAGGATCCATCACAAGTAATTTATTCAAATTAATGTTGACTCTTTTGCTGTTTGTGAAATATCAACAGGCAGATCCGGATTTTCTCTGTTTTTTTCACTCTTAGAAACGATCTAACGAGATTATCTATGAATCTCTCTTCTTCTGTGATTTCCTAGTTAAGCTGTGTTATTATTTATGTTCAAGCAACAACTAGCGACCCCAAATCTGATCAGGCCCCACTGTGCTGGGCACTGTACAGACATATATAAAGAGCTTACCATTGAAATAGACCAAACAGACCAAGGCTGGGAGAAAGGAAGTATTATCTTATCCCTATTTTATAGATGGGGAACTGAGGCACAGAGAGATGAACTGACATGAGAATTCAGAGAACATCATTTGTAGTGTTTGCTCCAACCTTGGGCCAATACAGAACGGGAAGGCTATTGAAAAGAGAATTAGCCAGATGAAAAGTTTGAGCGTGAGCTATCTAAGCCCCTTTGTGTGTGGAGATGAATGAATCTCCTACCGTAGACCAGGACCTTCTCCTACCAAAAGATTTATGTTCCTGTCCATTTGGATTAAGTTTCTACCCCACAGCAAACAAAAAAGGTGGGTTTAAAACCTTGGCTCCTGTGCAGCAAACAGGGTCGCCCAGAGGATTCAGGGGACCTGGGGTCTTCAGCGGTGGGGGGCCCCCGCCGCCGAATTGCCACTGAAGACCCGGCGCTTCGGCGGAGGGTCCCGGGGCGGAAGGACCCCCTGCCGCAGGTCTTCAGGGCACTTCGGCGGCGGATCCTGGAGCGGAAGGACCCCCCGCCGCCGAATTGCCGCCGAAGACCTGGAGCGGAAGAAGCTCCGAGGGCCCAGGCCACACGAGAGTTTTCCGGGGCCCCAGGAGCGAGTGAAGGACCCCGCTCCAGGGGCCCCGAAAAAACTCTCGTGGGGGCCCCTGCGGGGCCCAGGGCAAATTGCCCCACTTGCCCCCCCCTCTAGGCGGTCCTGGCAGCAAATACTCATTGGTTACTTAGCAAACTGGTACATCTCTGGTGCTGTCTTCACTCTGCACCTTGTGACCTCTGACCTTATGGATTCCATCCTTTTCCAGTTTATCCGACCTGCCGCAGTTAGAAGCACCATCCTCCCATGTCTCTCTGATCATATCACACCAGCCCCAATTCCCTTCACTAGCTTAAACCCGCTGGGTCAATTTAATTCCTCTTATATCAACATCGGGCCAAGATCTCTGCTGATGTAAGTCAACACAGCGCCAGAGCTGAACCCAATTACACCAGCGGGGTTCAATGGAGGTAAAACAGAGATTAATTTGACTGGCATTCCGCCCTTTCAAGGCTTGACACACCCATGGCCAACTCAACGTGCATGACCCGCTCCTCACGCTCTCCGACCCTATCATCTGCCCACACTCGTTGCCTTAATCCTTCCTTCATCTCTTTCACCCACTCACAACCTGGAATTAGGTTTTTTTTCCAAGCTGGCTCTGCCTCAAATCCTTTCTCGACAAAACCACGGACCTGATCTGCCCCATCAATAAGAAAAAACAAAATGGTCCCCAAAGACCTTTCCCATTGGATTACCTTCCCATCGCTCAGTGACTTGGGATGCCACCATTTT